GCTTACGTTCAACAATCCCATTTTGTTGAGGACACTCTACACAACTGGTTTGATGCAAAATGCCCTTTTTAAGGTAAAACTCACGCATGAGAAACTCCTGGCCATTGTCACTGCGTAAGTTCTTAAGCTTGGTATTGAAATGGTTTTCAATAAAAGCAATGAAATTCTGTAGGTGCATGCGTGTTTCGGTTTTGTTTTTCATCAAGATAATCCAAGTGAATTTACTGAAGTCGTCGACTAATGTGAGAAAATATCTATGGCCATGTATTGAAGCTATAGAGTATGGACCCCAGATGTCAGCGTGCAAAAGTTCAAACACTTTGCTACTTTATTAATACTTGTACAGTAAGGTAGTCTCCTCTGTTTAGCTAGGTGACATATGTCACAAGGGTTTGGGTGAATACAGGGTATGAAAGGAAATTGCTGAGAAATATTGCGTAAAACATCTTCTGAGATGTGACCCAGTCGTTGATGCCACAAGATGGAGTCATCTTTATTGACAGCATTGCACTTTATTCCATGAAGAGTACCAATGTGCTGGTTGTTATCAACCACGCTGTTGACTATCACATAGAGCCCATTCCTGAGCTCAGCAGTACCAATCATCAGTTGGGTACTTATCTGCTGAATAACACAACAATTGTCAAGGAATGTCATGGAACAGTTAAGGGAATTAGAAAGTTTGGATACTGAGATAAGGTTTACATGGAATTCAGGTGCATACAAAACATTAGTAAGAGTTAATGTGGGTGATAACACTACTGTGCTAGAATAGCAAGCAATGATTCGTGAGCCATTAGGTAAAATTATAGCAATTGGAGGAATCTTGTTTAGTAAAGAAAATTGAGATTTAATATGATCAATATGGTCAGTTGCACCTGTGTCAACTATCCATTGTGCACCTGAGGGCTGTGATTGTGAAACTGTTTCTGCATTTGAAATGGTGACCGAGTTCACTGCTGCATGTGTTGTTTCATTGTTCTGACTCATGCTTGGATTCTGTAAAAGATCCATAATTTGCTGGTATTGACTGTGTGAAAGGTTGACTCCTGAATAAGAGCCATCATTTTCTGGAACTGCCGCATCAGTTTCTTGATTGAATGTTGTATTTGCTATGTGTGGAACATTGATATTGGTTCTATAACCTGGTGGAAAACCGTGAACGTGGAAACAAGTATCCAAAGTGTGATTTCCTTTGCCACAATGAGTGCACATGCGATTAGGTGCTGAGTTTCTTCCTCCGTAGTTAAATCCTCTTCCACGGTTATTAAAACCTCCTCGATTAGGTGCTGATCGACCACCATTGTTGAATCCTCCTCGATTGTTATTGAATCCTCCTCGATTGAATGGAGTAAAATTACGATCTCTGTTGACATTCAAAATCTGAGTAATTGCAGAATCGTTTGTGTGACTTTCAGTCATGTATTGTCTTTCTTGTTGCACAATCATAGAAAAGACTTTGTTCACATTTGGTAAAGGATCTACCAGCATAATTTGTGATCGGACTGGAGCATATTGCTCGTTCAATCCTTTCAAGAACCTGATGGCATGATCACGTTCACGATAATCTCGCATCTTGATAATTGCTCCACAAATGCAAGGAATTGGACAACTACATGTTGGTAATGGCTTGAGATTCTCAAGCTCATCCCACATAGTTTTCAACTCAGTAAAGAATTCAGTCACACTCTTGGATCCTTGCTGCAGTTTATACATTTCTTCTTGAAGATCCGATGTACGAAACAGATCGGATTGAGAAAAACGTTCTTGCAAATCTAACCATGCTTCACGAGCACGTTCAATCCATATTATGGATTTTGTTATCGATTCCGAGATGGAACGGTGTATCCAGGCCATAACCATGTTGTTACAACGCTGCCACACTGAAAAGATTGGATCTTTTGCGTTTGGAACTTCAATGCTTCCATCAACAAATCCAAGTTTATTCTTGGAAATTAACGCTACCTTCATACCTCGCGCCCAGGTATGGTAATTGGCTCCTGTCAGTGGAGGAGAAACTAGCACCAGTGAAGGACTTTCATTTGAATGCATAAAGAAAGGACTTGATGAATCTATGGCTGGATTCGCCATTGTTGGCAAAGAAGAAGAAAGAAAATTTTCAAGAAAGAGAGAAAATGTAAAGAACTAAAGGGCGAAATACCATAGCTCTGTTTAGAGCTCTGATACCATATTGAACTTGTGAATATTCATTGAATTCACTATTATGAAGAATAATACAAGGCTGAAGTCTTTATATACAACATCAGCTTGAGTAAATACTGATAAAGTAAACAAACTAATCTACAACAGAATCTAACTAACTCTACCTATGAAGTTAACGGATTAACTGCATCTGCCACATCAGTTTCTATTCTTTGGTGATTAGTTGGGTCACGTGGAGAATGAGTTGAAAGTATATCTGCACTGCTGTATGGCTTTGATACGTGAGAGCTTGTATGTGGGTGTAATAATAATACCTAAAAGCGAATTAAACTACACAGTTCTTCGAATAAAAGATTTTAATTTATTAATGTGTTGAATAGTGTCATAGAAATATAATACAAAATTATTGAAAATCGTCATTTAACACCATTGAAGACCCAACGCTTAAGAGTTTGAGCTTTTAGATGAGATAATTATTTATCAAATAATTCTTTAAAACTTTTAATTGAACATGACATGTAAATAGGTGATTATTGAAGATAAATAGGTGATTATTTAGGCCTTCTCCGTTGAAAAAGGTTCTACTTGACCGTGGTGATAACTTGTGGTAGAACAATCTAGTAAAATTAACGGTTTAGAGAGTTCTTTGTAAAAAAAATCAATTTAACACAAAAGCTGTTTATATTTTTTCTAATATTCTCCGTGGTTTCTAGGCAAAAATTGCATGCATCCCAAGATGCAAGTCTTATATTTTCTTTCTCCCTCTTTTCTGTTTATTTGCTTGCCCAAGAAAAACATTGCATAATTTTTCCTTTATTAGTTTATTTATAGATCATGAATCCACGATTTTTGGCTAACGAATACCAAAACATTCACCTAACTTTTACACTTATTTCTATATCAATTGTATGTTGACCACTAATCAAGTCAAACCATGGTTGTAACTTGTTCAGAATGAATATCCAAAAAATAAATAAAATGAAAGTTTTTGAGAATTTTTATCTTTTTAAAAAGGCCCATACCTCCCTATCCCTATATATTTTCATAGTTTGTTGAGAAATGTGGTTAATCACGAGGAATGACTGTTGGCGAAAGACGGTGTGGTTTTTAGTGCTTCTGGTAGAAGAATTAATATGATGGTTCATCACTAACCCTTAGCCTAATGACTTGGTGAAGGATCGAGCAAATCATTGAGGCTTTTCGTCAAATATTGTTGATTAACTAGCTAGATCAGTGCTTAAATTGTTCTACGAACGCACGCATCTTCAGCCATGGTGGATGTTTTTGGCAATACCGATGAATAGCTGTTGTAATATGAGAAGGCTTCTTTGTCACTGCTTGTGTAGTAAAACATTACGGCGTGTATCATTTCTAATAACCCAACTAATAAAGGAGCTTAATTAGCATTAAAAATTCAAAATAAAATAAAATTGGAAAGATAAAAATGCAATTTTAGTATGCGTACGTTAGCATAATATAAATTAATCAGATATGTATCTCAGACACAAACATATATGGATTCGTATAAAATAATTGAATTCACCTATGAATAAATCTATTTTTAACAGTTTTTTTCTGCATACACTATAAGTTCTTATACTTCTTACATAAGGTAGATGCATAGTAATTAGTAAATCCCTCGATAAAAATCAAGTTAATCTTATATAAGAATGAAAATATAATAAAATTGAGGAAGTGCAAATATCAGAATCCAAGGTAAGTACATATATAAGTACGAACTGAAGAACTTTGTTTGTAAAGGAAGCAGCGCGTAATTAATTAGTTTGAAACATGTCGCTCATGATCAGTTGCATGCACTAGTGGAGTTTTTTTCTTCTTCTTTTATAACCTTTATCGATATTAATTATATAGATTAAACAAATTAATAGTTCAAAAAGCTTTAACGCACTAATATGGTTATATAAGTGGCATTTGAGCATTCATTCCGCGTACGAGCTTTGAAATTTTTACTATATTATACATAAAATTAAACAGTGAGGATTACATCATAATATTTCATTATATATATGGGGCATGCACTACATAGCCGACTATAAGTAAATATATATCAACCTCCAATATAAATACATTCTGAATCGCGTATATATATTTTGTATTTTCCACGTGTGTTAACCAAAAATTCTACCAAAAACTAAGTTATTAAGTAAAGGTTAATGACTGACTTAACATACTTCTTAGAAAACATAATTTTCAATCTGGCCTTTTATTTTTTTTTAATTTTATTTTTTTTACTTTAGTCAATAAAATGGAAGCCAACCAACTGGTATGACAGTAAACAGATATATCTATTTTATCCATTCATTAATTAATGCGTGCGAGGGGCCTCATCCTAACTTTGAAAATCAAAGAAACCCATTCATGCATCTTGTAAACAAACAATCAAAGAAAGACTAATGCAGAATAATTTTACAACATGCTTAAAGACATGAGTGCATAGAAAAAGGTTTCTTTTAACCAGAAATTGAAGAACACATGCATTTAATTTGGAATAACAGGAAAAGTGTGGAGGATCACTTTGTCTGCTGTCACAGCTGCCATCTCTTCGTCTTAGGCTTGAGAGCCAGAGCCTAGAGCTAGGACTCATTTTATGGCATGACTATACCGTACCTGCTTGTGATATATAATAAACTTAAATATAAAACTATCTAGATTCTAGAGCCATCTTAACGCATGCATCTCAATTTGCACACACACACACACACACAACTGCACTCACGCAGAAGGGCAGAGAAAGTTTAATTCTTCCACACATATTTATACAAAAATATATAATATGTCTCAGCATCCATCGAACAATTATATGGTAATAGCTACCAGTAGAATCGTTTCCATGCACTTCTTGTACTTCATTTTTCAAATACGCATATCCCAATATCACAGTCTGAGCTTGTACTTAAAAACGGGCTTAACTTGTTCCCTTCATCCCTACTACTCTGCAGTAGAAACAAAGCCATGTCCGAGCTGGTATTGGTTTCAAAGCTTGAGAGTGCGTTAGTTTCATGCATGTCTTCTTGACTCAGTTGAGAAGCCACAAACTTGTCAAGAGCTCTCCAGTCAGTCACTTTCTCTGTGTTGTTGTTGGATAATTTGTTTTGATTATCATCTTCGTTATTGTCTGGTATTAAGGACACTGTGTTTGGCCTCTTTAATAATGGCAAAGAAGGGCTTTCTAGCTGAGGAAGCTGTACAAATTGGTCTTGGTTCATGAAGCTCATGTTATCTGCTTCTATCTCTTGCTTACACATGAAACTTTGAGCTAAAAAGCTTTGAGGTTGCCGTGAGAGGATATCAAGTGGATCAACCACGGTGCTGACCCCACTTGCTTCTTCATAGAAGTAGCTTGAGTCCCATCCTTCAGCACTCTTCGTTTGGGCAGTGGCTTTTTTCTTGAATGCTCTGCACACAACCCATCCTTCTTCCTGCACAAACACAATTTAAGTTTGAAAGTTGAGATGAAACTTTCTGCACTTCTTTTTCTTTCTGTTGTTATGAAAGGGGGAAAAAAAAGAAAACATTATTTTTTTAGTGTTTTTCCTTTTATGTTCGTTTTCACTTTAGCTTTTACAAATTTGCCATTTGTTTGGTGAGAGGTAGTAGGTGTAGTCAAATAATTAATTACATGGAGGTTTACGTTTGACAATGAAAATGGCAAAAAGCCTCTTTTGAAGAAAAGGAATTAGGAAAAGAAGTTCAATTATTCTCTGTTGAAAGTAGTGACTTTTGACTTCTTGTTGGTGAAAGTTATGTTGCAAGAAAGCGTGTACGTACGTGCCTTGGTGAATATTCAGATGTTAGTGGTCTATGAAAAAAAAAGAAAAGTGAAAGTGAGTTTAGAGAAAAACGAACCAAATGCATGATCTGCATTAACTTAAGTAACACTAATTAAGATCTTTTTATTAATTCCTACGAAGCACTAAGAGGGTGACTACTATACAGAACAACAACAGAGAAAAAAGCAAAAACAAAAACAAAAACTTAAGAGAATAAATGATGCTCAATCTCCAACTTATGTTTAGGTACTATGTGTATGAGTGTTTGAAAGAGCAAAAAGCAAAGGAATATGTCATAATTAACGGGAAGCCATCTAAAGCCACTAATGAAGTTTAAACGTAACGTTTCCAACTCAAGTACTGAAACTAAGTAAGCAAAAAGAATAGTCAAAGCGCGTAAAATTAAGAATATATGGTACATATGAATATGCAGTAATAACATATATGCTTGCCTGAGGAGGTCCATTCTCATCAGATTCAAGCCTATACTCATGCATGATCCAATCAGTTTTCTGTCCATTAGGGGCTCTTCCTTTGTAGAAAACAAGTGTCTTCCTCATTCCAATTAGTTTTGTCTTGTCATACACTGCCTTATCTCTTCCTGTGGCCTTCCAGAACCCAGCCATGGTAGCTCTGTTAGTTCTTGTTCCTGTTGGATACTTTTTATCTTTGTGGCTGAAGAAATACCACTCATTCTGCTCTTCATACCCAATCCTGCAGCTCTCTGCAATATCATTCATTCACTTCATGATTTCAGAAAATAAAATAAAATAATAATAACACAGATCCAGCTTAGTAATAGTTTACCAAGCGAGAATTAATGGGTCAGATCAAATATCTAGCATTTAAAACCCTAATGTTTGATTTGGAAAGTAGTGGTGAAGAGGAGAAAATTAAGAGTAGCATGCAGTATATGTATTTTGTATATATATATATATATATATATATATATATATATGTATGTATATGTATGTATATACCTTGGAGATCCCATGGTTCAATACGATATAGATCGATGTCTCTGATAACGTCAAGGTCAATCTTCTGAGAAGCTATTTTCTTCCTCAGATAATAACCAACAAGCTCTTCATCTGTAGGGTGGAACCGAAACCCCGGTGGGACACATGACTCCATCGACTCCATCATAGCAATTACTGGTACTGCATCAAATTCACCACCACCATTAATACCCACCACACTTGACTTTCTTCATCATGTATAAATTATAGCCAATGAAATATGTGATGTGAGTGATTGAATGTAATTATATATGAGAGAGAAGAGAAGCCGAGAGATAATACTCTAGTAAGTGAACACAACATAAATAAAAAAAGTTAAAAAGGCAAACCCCAAGAAAACAGATTAAGGGAAAAAATAATATATTTAAGCCCTTTTAGTAAAAAGGTGACAAGTGTTGTCAGAGATAATCATCAGCTCATTTGGTGGTGTGCAACACTCACAAAAATTAATAGAAAAGGAAATAAATATAAGCGCGTGTTATAAACAAAACCCCATAATTTCAGAAACAATGATTTTTCTTCCCCGGGCCGGGTTAAAAGATGAGGAGTTGAAGAGAGAGGGAAAGGGAAAGAGAGAGAACCAAATCATGAGAGTTTGGTTTTGATAAAAAAAAAAAACCATGAGGAGATGGAGCTTAGCCTAGCCCTTGTGTTTGTTGTGTAAGGGTAAGAAAACGGACAGCTACAGGCTTGTGCTAATGATGTTGTCTTGTGTTAGTGAATGGTGGGAATGATTCATCAGAGAACGGGGTTCCCCATTCCGCATTACTATTAATAATTATGTATATTCACAAATAATTAGATACATAAGTTAACCCGTTAATTAACCTCAATAAAAAACATATATGACATGGATAAAACAAACCAAAACAATAGTTCTAATATGCTTATGTCTGACTTAAGAAAAATACCAAAGCTAGACCTATCTGAGCAAGCTAGGTAGCGAGCGAGGAACTGGAGTCGTTAAATGAGATGTATATATAAATAAAGAAAGAAAGAATTGTATAAGATTTTAAATGTGATCTTGAAATTATGAATAAAGAAAGGGAATGCCAAATGGGTAGAGTATGGATTGGGATGGGAGTGACGTTATCACAAATTGGGCACGCGTTTCTCGAAAGAGAAAAGGTTGAGAGACAAAAAGAGAGGTACCATTCTATTGGATCAAGGCCTGCGGATGATAAAAAGCTAAGGTTGAGAAAGAATAAAAAAAAAGGGTGTGAGGATAGAAGCACAGTACTACTACTGTTGAACTCTTAGGCATATAGAGTCTTCGTTCGTCTCATTGCGGAAATTGGGTCTCTGACTTTGTTGTCTCTTTGTCGAGAATTTCCATGGCACACATCTGACCTCTTACCTTAACGAACTTTGAGAAAAATGCTGACCCCAATAAAAACCAGCACTTTTATGGATACCCCCCATACCCAATATGTGCAGGGTGAGTGCAGGTGCACCCTTCTTTCTTATAACTTTGGTTTTTCAATCTCAGCAATTTCTACAAACACTCATAAGAAATTACTACAAAACGAAAAAAAAAGGGTAGAACTAAAGCTTTACATGAGATGAGGTTAAATATAATATATGTAATTTTGTATATGATTGTGGGATGGAGATGCAGAGGAACAATATATGAGCTCACCTGATGAGTTAGTAGTTTAATTAAAGACAAGTGGAATGAAGAGAAGAAGAAGAAGAAGAAGAAGAAGAAGAAGGAGATAAGAAAAATTCCATTAGGAGTGAGGGAATTGTAAAGAATATAAAAAGAAAAGAGAAGAAGGACCGCTGAATTGCGCATGGCTTGATGGTTGTCCCCCCAGTAGGCGACGTCATTGCCTAACTTCCTACACCCATTACCTTTTTCTTTTCTTTTTGTTTCTTCTCCTTTTTCTTTCTTTCCCTTCTCTCTCTCCTATATTCTCCTTCCGTATTTATTTACCGTATATATCACTAGGGATTATATGTATATACATAAAAAAAAAAAAAAAGACATTTAACTGTAATTATTAGCTAAGAGAAATAGGAAATAAAAGTGGAGGCCTTTTTCAGATGATCAGGTTTTTAAACAATTGTGCTACGCGTGTAAATCATAACTGAGTTCATCCACTTCCAAATTTTTTTCTATTTTCGTATATTCCATGCATTTTTTGTAAAAAAAATATAAATTGAAGAAAAAAAATCATTATGAGAAAAAGTCTGAGTTTGTAAAAAAAAAATTTAAGTAGTATAACTGAATATTTAATCAAATATTTCATTGGGGTTATAATTATATTTAGGGATGTAAATGAGCTGAGTCGAGCCAAACTTTAACTTAAACGAGCCAAGTCTATGAAAAATATTTTGAGCTTGGCTTGACCTATTAGGCTCGTACGAATTAAATTCTAGACTTGGTTTGGCTTCTTTATAAAAAATAAAAGATTGACTTTTATAAAATGTATTTTTTCAAACTCACGTACGTCCAAATGTTGAGACTATAAATGCATCAAATTCTATATTCCTTTGTCAAAGAAAAAATAATCATAAAACTCACTCGGTTCACATATAATTTACATAACATCTTTCATGCTATCTAGCTGGAACAAAAAAATAACATTTTCAATACATTCAATATCCCATTAGAGATTCAATTCATGGACTAGTTTGGAACCAATTCAAGATACATTTAATTATCCCATTAGTTTTTTTGTGAAACTGTGACCGTGAGAGAATGTCAGTAGACAATAGTAAAAAATAAGGTTAAAAAAATAGAGTTAATCATTCAATTACATAAAATTTTTATTATTTATTATAGTAATATATCAGGCCAACTCAGGGGCTTTTAAGCCAAGCCTCATTAAATTAGGCTTGGACTTGTTTGCTAAACAATTTTTTTTTTAAACTTAAACCCGTTCTATTTATTAAACAAACTAGACCAAGTCTAGCCAAGTTTAAAGCAAGCCAAGCCGTAAGCCCTAACAAGTTGTCCGACCCATTTACACATCTAATTATATTGCATACAATAATTGTCTCCATTAATGTGTTTTATTGACATTTAAAATGATGATTTTTTTTTTTATAATACTAAGATATTATTTTATTTTATTTTGGTAAGCACAAAGATATTATTATTTGGCTTATAATTTACATCTTCGTACATTTTATTGACATTTTTTTTTCATGGCATAATACTTTTCATTTTGTACAAATGAAACTTCGAGGACTCTTTAACCTCCAGGTTCATTTTGATGGAGATTTTAGTGAGTTAGAAATTAATTATTAAAATAGCTCAAATTGAACAATGGAAAGGGGCCAAGTCATGAGACTAGATTTTTTTATAATTTTTTTATTGAAGTGATATCATTAGAGTATTAATGGAAATAGGTTAAGTTCAGATGATTCTTTATCTTAAATAAACTTGACGTGTTTTATAAATATAAAGTCCTTGTTATGTGACATTAGATTTTTTTTGGTTAATGAAACTTGACTTTTTTAAAAATCTAACTTCCGGTGAAAACTTACTTGAAAGATTATTTTGCATTAAGATTTTAAAATAAGTTGATAACTCTACTTTTAAATACATTGTTGATCAATACATTAGCAAATTGGGCTTTTTAAATAGACAAAATAAATTTATGATATGAAAATTATATATAATTATAGTATATGTTCAAAAATCCATTCCAAAGATTTGAAACTTGAGATACTTAATTAAATGGGGGTAGGTTACGTTTACAACTTTTTTTGTTTACAATTTTTTTTGTTTACAACTCTTACAACCTCAACTATCTTCTCCCGGGAGAACACTACTGGAGAGTGATCTCTCGAGAGAACATAGTTGAGGTTGTAAGAGTTGTAAACAAAAAAAGTTGTAAACGTAACCCTTCTCTAATTAAATAATAAAAAATTTAGTCTAATAATTTTGTTAATAATTTGGAAAATAATTTTAATATTCATGTAATACTGACTATTCGGTACATTACTTATTAAAAATGCAAAAAGTAATGCACCTAACATTATTTATTCTACCCATCCCTTACAATTAGCTTTATAATGAGTATCACATAAATCCCAGTTTTTACTATTTTAAATAAGGAATTACCTACTACGGAAGCAGTAAAAATATGCTCCACGACTTTGCATACAATAATATATATAAAAAATAAAAAATAAATCCTAACCAAATTCATGGTCGAAAATCAGGACTTCAGTAAAAATATTATTAAAATAAAGACTAAATATCATTTTTGGTCCTCATAAAATTTCATGATATCCGCTTTAGTTTCTAGAAAAAAAAAAAAGGCTATCCGTGGTCCCTAAGAATTTCAAAATGGACCCATTTAGCTGAAATTATGGTCCCTTATAAATTCAAAAAAGACCCACATTAATCTCTCAAAAGGACTAAAATGGGTTCACTTTGAATTTCTTAGTGACCACGAATAGCCTTTTTATTTGCTATGAACTAAAGCGGGCATCATAAAATTTGCAGAGGATTGAAAATTATATTTACTCTAAAATAAACTTAGCCCTAAGTCATATACGCCATACTTAAGGCTTGGCTTTGTCTGGGAGTTAGTTTTAGGAGGGGAAGGAAAGGAAACAGAGAGTTTTAATAAGTCCTTCCCTTATTTGTGAGTTAAAAAAAAAGGGGAAGAAATTGAGAATTTTTACTAAACCCTCCAAAACCTCCCTTCTTCTTAAAATTAAAGTTACCCCAATTTAGGGGGTTTGAGGGAGAAAATATTAAAAATTACTTAACTACCATTAGCATTAAAATGTGAAAACTACATACATGTGAATCATTTTTAAATGTGACATTATTAGAAGAGTTTTAAATACCGACAGAATTTATTGACAAAAAATATTTCGTCAAAATATAGTGATGGAATTTTTGATGAAAATCATATACATCAAAAAATTTCCATCAAAACTAAATACAAAATTAGAGACGGAACCAGATTTTGCCATAATCACTGACATAAACTTTTTACATAAAAAAAAATCAGTCAAAATTATTGATAGAATCTAAATTCCGTTAAAACTAACAAAAATATTTTCGTTCAAAATTTTGACGAAACACATTTCCATCGAAAAAGTTTCAACATAAAACAATTACGTCAAAATTTTTTACGGAAAACATTTTCATCAAAATATTTT